ACGTGATGAGCTCAGCGTGACAGTTTCATGCAACTCATTGATTTATAAGAATATGAGCTGAACTCATCCTGAAACAGTCCTTTCATAATTTTTGGATTTAAGACAAAACAGACGAATAATTAAAAAAGATTTTTAAAAAACTTCTGAAAACATTTTTCAAAGATGAATTAATTAGAAGCTAAATTACAAAAGGATTCATTTAAATATTTAACACGATGCTCATATTTAGGTTTGAATTTCAGTTTGTTTCTGTGTTTAAATTATTAAATATAATAAATGTAATAATATAATTATAAAAGCACAAACTGAATCACATTAAAGACGAAACGACTCCATAAATCTAATCAGATGCAGAAAAAAGGTCATTTTGTAAATGAAGAACAGATTTTTATTGGTTAAACCTGGACGTTTGTTTTGGTTGGATGGTTGTGAGAGGACGCCGCTCGCGTGCGCTGCTCTGGATTTAATCAAAGCGTCAGTTTTACAGCAGCTCAGTGAACGCGGCGCCGTCCTCTGCACTTTATTTAAAGATCAATAACAGCTGGATGACGGCTCGTTAAACGTGTGGTGGATTTGAACTGAAACCTGGATAATGTTGTTAGAAATGCAAGCGAGGTGACACGAGCGCGTGAACGGGCCGCTGAGGCCGCGGCTCGTTAAATCAGCAGCTCGTTATCTGCGTGTGAAGAAGAGCAGGCGGGTTAATAAAACTAGGCTTTAATGATACGTGAGGATTACAAACATCTGATCAACATAGAAAAACTGTCTCAAATTCAACCTTCCTGTTAACAAATCAGTCTGCCCCGCCCCCCGGGGGCCGCGCAGACCCGTGGAAGCGCTCTACACGTTCGCCGTGCTTCTGCTGTGCTCGTGTGGCTCCAACTGGCTCTGGCAGCGCAGCCGGCGGTCTCGGGCCGCCGTCTGCAGTAATCCGTTTAACGACGAGGCGCCGCCGTGCAGGGGCCCCGGGGGGCCGTAGGCGGAGTATCCGGGGATGAAGGGGGAGGCGTAATAGAAGTGTCGGGGCAAGGCGGGGCCGTGGGGGAACGGGGTCCGTTGCTGTCCCGCCCCCACGCTCTGTGCTGAGTCACTACATCCTTTGCTTTTGTCCGAAGACGTGGCGATCTCAGCCAGCGACCAGAGTTTGGGTTTGGGGGCCACGTTCGGCCCCTGGGTGGTGCCGCAGGGGCGCTCCTTAGACCGCGGGCTCGGCGTGCGCGTCCCCTCCAGCACTCTGAGCGTCTCCGGGGGGGCGCTCCGAGGAGGGTCCGCCGACATGTCCACGGGTCTCCGGTCCACGGGGGAATCCTTAAAGTCCAGCTCGTCGAATCCTCGATTGGCGTCGCTGCCGCCGTCCTCTCTGAACGCCAAACTGCGGGAGTCTGGGGGGGGAGGCGGGACAGGCCAGGTCAGACCAAACACACATCAGCGTTCAGCGTGCAGGGTTATGAGTTTGATTCAAACACACACAAACAAAATGCACTGCATATTAGACCCCGCCCCCTCACATCTGCCTTATGGTCACGGTTTCCGCAGCCCAAACAAAATCAGCAGCCAATCAGCAGCTGCTCTCACGACCAATAAATCGACTTTAAAGAAGAAAGAAAAGAGTTCAGCCTGAAAGTGTTTGATTCGTCCAGATCAATGACATCATCAGTGAGAAATAATCAATCAGAAGAACGCCGCCGCCGACCGTCTCCACGCTTCAGCATCATTAAACGCACTCAGCTCCCAACATCTTCTCCCGCTTCTCTCGCCGTGCGCCTGCCGCTCTTCACTTTTTAAAAAACGGGTCCAGAACATTCTTTGATTTTAACCGATGATCTGATAAAGTCTGAAATGATGAAAATCTGAAGCTGATCAATAATCTGATCTATGAACAAACAGGAGCAGTAACAACGACAGACCTGATCAGGACGAGCCGCTCGCTCTGCTCACACTCAGAACTAAAACCAACCTCATCAAACTGTTTCCACTGCAGCCGCTGCGATGATGTCATCACCTACAAGAACGGATGGAGAGGAGCGCCGGCAAACGTCTCCGGGTTCCCGACGCGTGTCACGTGCAGGTCATTTTAAAACCCATCAATTAATCGATCAATCGATGGATGGACCCCTCCCCCCTCACTCACCAGCTTCACGCTTCGGCTCCGTCTCCTCGCTGCTCGCCTTCAGTGGCTCCTCGTCCTCTTCGTTGTGTTCCAGGTCGATGTTGTCCTCCTCTTCCTCGTCCTCGCTCCTGTTCCGTGGCGTCCACGTCATCTTGTTCTCCTTCTTCAGCCGGCGCCGGGCGTTGGCGAACCAGGTGGACACCTGCGTCAGGGTCATCTTCGTGATGATGGCCAGCATGATCTTCTCGCCCTTGGTGGGGTACGGGTTCTTCCGGTGCTCGCTAAGCCAGGCCTTCAGCGTGGCCGTGGCATCCCGTGTGGCGTTCTTCCTGTAGGCGGGGTCTCCATACGGATATGGGCCCAGCGCCCCAAACGGGTGGTAGTCCAAGGACCCGGAGATGCCCGAGGACGGGTCGTAACCCGGACTCTGAAACAGAAACCATCATGTTAGTGGTCAGCTCGAGTTCCCACGCAGTTTAACCCGAGGGTCACATGACCACACGGCTTCAAACTACAGACCCAAACACAGAAGGAGGAAAGACCTCGCTCAGTTTAATCCACCTGAAAAATCTCACAGCCTCACAGAAATGTACAATGTTCCTCCTTCAATTTAAAATACATTTAAAAAAAATAATTTAAAAAAATGAATTAAAGAATAAGTAAAAATATATATAAAAATAAAAATGTAAAAACAAAAATAAGTTAAAAAAAACCATTAAAAATAATTTACATTTTTTTTAAATAAAATAAATTAAAGAATAATTAAAACTAAATTTAAAAATGTAATTAATAAATATAAATAATAATTAATTCAAAAATAAAAGACAAATAATTAAAATTTCTTTTTATCTTATAAATAAGATTTTAAAAAAGATAAAAAAAAACAGATTAAAAATGAATTTTAAATAAATGTAATAATAAATTCAAAAATCATTGAAAATAAATGAGAAAAATAACTTTTTGAAGAGCAGATATTTTCATTGTACGGACCGGAACCAGACCCGGACCCGAGCCCTGGCCGTCTCCGCGCGCACTCACCACATAGGAGCTGAGCGCCGCGGCGGCGCGCGGCTCCCCTCCGTAGGGCAGCTGGGGGCCGAAGCCAGGGGAGGTCGCCGGTCCGGAGTACGGAGCGAAGGCGGAGCCGGACGCGGAGCGGCCGAGCTCCTCGGAGCGCGCTCCCAGGAGGAGGCCGGAGCCGAAGGAGGAGTGCAGAGCCAGAGGCGCGTGGGGCTGGAACAGGAAGCCCTGAGGGTACGACATGACTTTTACGCGCGGGAGAAGTCGCGTCGGAGCGCGGGACGGAGGAGGGAAGAGCGGGCGGAGAGGAGCGGGAGTTCCAGGAGCATCGCAGGAGGCTCGCGGCGGCACTTTGTCCGCTCCGGCTCTGCGCACCCGATCTGCGCCGAACCCGCAGACAGACTGAGCGGAGAGGAGGCTCAGCTCCACCTCCGCACGCTCACACCTCCTCCTGCTCGCTCTCTCCTCTCCCCTCAGCCCGCGCGCACTCTGCGAGCAGGTGGAACTAACGCGACCCTACAAAATAAAAGCACCAGGATAATAAGGCTTCACGTTCCTCACACCTGCAGAGTTTCTGACTGTTTGTGCACGAAACACGTCATCAAAGTGCGCCGTGGACCAACATGTAGTTTATGAAATATTCCAAATGATTCGTGACAAACAAATATTACTCCACTCTTTAGCTCCTTTGGTTTGACTTAGCCAATAAAAACTTTGGGTTTAGGTTTAGCCAATAAAAATGCTTGGTTAGGTTCTTGGTTTAAATAAACTCCCAGCAGGACACAAACATGAGTTGATGTGTGTTCGGAGCTCAGAGGGTTTAAACCTGCATTACACCTGCCGGCCACCAGATGGCGATAGCAGTGGTTTCAAAGTGACTGTAGCTTTGCAGAGGTTTCTCATGTGACGTCACGCACACATTGGATTGGACGTGATACGACCTGCATTCACTTTGGTTGTTAGCAGGTTGCTGCGTTCACTTGTAGCTTGCACTGAAGACGACGATACGTCTGCAAACGCTCAACAAGAGCTCGCTGAGTGGGATTAAAACTTGAAAATGTGAGCTCCAAACAGGAAATAGAAATAATTCACCCTCAGAGTTCAGAGTTGAACTTTTGCTTTAAAGGCAAATGATTATAATTTCATTTTTAGTAGTTGGCAGGTGTTTGCAGACAAGTTGGCATCTTCCATACAAACTATAGCAAAGAGAGGTTATCCTGCTGTGTTTCAGGAGGAAGGATTATGCTCATTGGCTAAAACATGTGATTAGCTGGTCATTAGCCAATGAGTGCGCGGTTCAACAGCTCTGGTTAAAAAAAAAACGCTCATGCTGAGGTTTTGAAACGTAAGTAGATTACGTATCAGATGCTACATCACAATTAACAGCCACAGGGGTCAGTAGGAACAACTTTAACTTCTACACAGAGGAAAAATCATCAGAAGGGCGGGGTTTGAGTGTAAAAGTTACATTCCTTCATTCATTTTCAGTTTAATTGATTACTTCCTGTGGAAATGTCATCAGTTCTAATTGTGTGACTTAAGAAGCGTTCAGGACGTGATGTCACTTCAGGTGTTCGGGATTCCACTGATGCGTAACAGGTGACAGTGTGAGCAGGACAGATGCCGTGACAGGCAGTACAATCCGGTGAAACATCAAACCAGGCCGTCCCGCTCTCGCGTATTTTAGCGTTCTCTGCTGAACAGTGTTGAATTATGAACTTGGTGGCGATCGATCTGCTGACTGATTGGTGTGCGTGTGGGAGAGCGTGGACACCTGTGGCTGATGCTGAGTGTCCTGAGAGCAGCTCAGTGAACTTTGAGGATCTAAGCCCACACCGCCTCCGCCTAATCTGATTAGTGGGGACTATAATTAGCAGAGTGCCAGCAAGGAGAATACTCCCCGCGTCAGTGGAAGTCCGGTCGCTGCTTTTCGGTGAAACCAGCTGAAGTCCATCTCTAATGGCCACGTCCACGGATTTTCAGAACGAGGCTGCAGGAATTTCCACGTTTGCAGGTAGGAGCACAGCGAGGAAGCCGAGTTCGGTGCATTAACTGCTGTTGATCCCAACACTCCACAGGCCATTTCAGGAGGCACGCCGTCACAGGTTCTCTCTCACAAACGTCATCCTGTTTGGAAATCATACTTTGAGATGTAAACAATAGTTACTACTACTAGTTAGACATTCCTGTAAATACTCCAAATATTTCATTTTAATTCCCTGTAAGTCTTTTGTTATAGTAAATAAATGAAGATTACAAAGCATCATGGGACTTTTCTGTAATGTCACACATTTTACTGTAAGTTCACATAAACTTTATTTAAAAGATGGACAGCTGTGACCCAAAGAGGAACAGGACAGGTAAAAACAAAGACTCTAAATCAGCTAAAGCAGGGGTGTCAAACTCAAATACACAGTGGACCAACATTCAAAACTGGAACAAAGTCGCGGGCTAACGTTAATATTTATTGAAATATATTTATTCCTCCAGATATAAGAATGAATCTTTTCTTATGGACTCAAACACATTTTGCTGAAAAACTGAATATGGAACAAGCAAAGCTTAATACTAAACAATATATATATTAGCTGTATAATACCAGTAGGCCAGCTCTGATAGTAATTTGTTATGGCTTCGCGGGCCAAATGTAATTAGGTTGCGGGCCAAATTTGGCCCGCGGGCCAGAGTTTGACACCTATGAGCTAAAGAGATCAAACAGTTTGTGTATCAGGATGTAAACATGTTTATTTAACATGGAGTCTATGGGGATGGACTCACTGTGTTTTTGATCATGTGACTGATGGATGTCAGCGTAGTGCAGGATCTGAAATGTTAGGCAGAGTCACCTCGGCCTTTATTTCCCGAATTAAGTTTAGTCTAGACTCCATTTTCATTTTATCAAGTCTGGGCCTGGCTTTAGTCTGAGATGTTTTTAATCCCTCCTCCTGCTTTAGGTGACGGTCTGAGTGAGACGGCTCGATTTGAGTCGATGATGCAATGCTAAACGAATATTGATTTGCTGCAGTGAATCCTGGGTAAAGTGAGCAGCCTCTCTCCGGCTGCACTGAGGGGGAAACAATGCGAGTCGGCTGATCCTCTGCAGAGGCTAAGCAGTTTAACAGAGACGTTTTCATGCTTTTTTAAGCATCTTTCATTAAAGCCCTCTGCACCGGCTGAGGTGCGCGCCTCTCCTCCTCCGCCTCCTCCTCGGGTGCTCAGGAGGGCGAGCCCACCGAGGGCTTCCTGCTGGATGGAGTAATGACTCGGAAAAGCTCTTTCATCATCTCCACGGCGAGCCCCCCAGCAGGCCCGCCCCTGGAATGACACTGTTCTGCTGTTTTATCATATCGAAAAGTTATGTTCACAATTTGCACGAACAAAGTCGAACACTGAGGGAAGTGTGGCGGCGGCGTTTCCCCCGTATTCTCAGTGGCACGACTCTTTTGTGAAGATTTTCACATGAAAGGAGCGCTCGTTTGTTTCCTCCAGCAGCTCCCGAATGAGCTCAGCCCGCAGGGCAGATGTCCAGAGGTTACTTAAAGACTGTGTGTTTAATTAATTGGAAAACACTCGTTTTTAATAGTTATTATTCAAGTATGAAATGCAATCCTTGTAATCTGTGTGCACACATAATTAGCACCCATGAGATTTCAGCATGCAGTGCTTCAGAGAGGAGACGGTTACATCAAACCGGTGCACATCCTCATTCAATGGTTGTTTACACGCTGATCAATGAGCACTGTAATCAGATGAGAGGCAGAATTTAAGAGTGCAGCGGCAGGAAATCAGTCTGCACTCAGGTCTGATCCTCTCACGGCTGTCTGACGATGTGCTGGATATCCGGGCTCAGACCGAAGCTGTTTGCATTACAGAAAACCTCTACAAACCAGGTGTGAGGGGACAGGTATGAGGGGGGACAGGTGTGACAGAGGACAGGTGTGAG